AAATGGAGAGATTCGAAAATGCATGTAGTGTCTGCCAAGAGATAAAACATCTAGGTGGAGAGAGGGGTAAGGAAGACTGTTTAAATCCCATTTCCACAAGAAACCGATGCTTTCCACGTTTTAGTAATGTCGAATTGAACATTTTAAACGAAATTTCCTCCTTAATGAAAAATAAAACCGCAACTATTTGTTTTTAAACTCTAACGTTTTTTTTTTAATAATACTGCACATATGCAGATTTTTTTATATCAAACATTCCTTTTCAAAAACTAAAAATGCTAAAATTTTATTTGATGTGTGATGGTTTCTGTACCGTTGGGCTTAAAAAAAATTTCAAACATTCGGAATTAACACTAGATTTTCATAGTAAGTTATAGAACATCACATTTTGTTTTTACTAATCCGTTATGATGAATTTATTCGTCAAGATCTTATGACATTGGATATTATTAGGATTTCACAAAATTGCCTTAAAACTGTATTACACTAATTGTTGTAAGGTTACATTTTCTGAGCTTTCCATGTGGCTCCTATTATGGCTTGTTGAATTTATTTAATTATATGATATTCTGTTACAATATATCACAACTATACTATTTATCCAACAATTAAGTACTCACAATAGTACTCATTGTATACCGTTAGCAAATGTAAGCAAGTATACGACGCAAATTAATCTTAATCCAATTGACAACTCTCTGGCTTAACTAACGTATTTACTTAGTTTTATAAAACAACGACTGGAGTGTTTTGATTCAACAATTTACTCTTAAAAGCGTGGATTAAGGACAGGACGCATTGCAGCAGTTCTAAGTAGTTAAGGGTTGTTGCAAGCCTGTTTTGCTACAAGGTTTTCCTTTTCTGAGGAGTTTGTTAAAGAACGTCTAAATCCTGTTTTGAATCGCCCACAGGTGCGCCTTTTCCGGTTATGCCGGGAACCAAATTGGATTACTAATTGTCTTTTCACTCAGACTGTATTTTATTGTAATAGTTTTCCATTAATTAGAATTATTTCTAAAATAAAGAGAGTTTAAAAAGGTGAATTTTTTATCTGTTATCTTTTTATAATTGTCTTACAGTTACTTATTTGAAGTAATCTTATACTATTAGAGTGTTTTTAGATATTTCGGAAAGGGTCATATTTTATTTAGGTTTTTTTATTGCCTTAAGTTGATTCGTAAGATATGGGGAACAAAAAAAAAATTCCTTGTCAAACAAACTAAGCTATTGATTTGTATTGAAATTACTGCTAATTAGGACTTCAACCGATCAGGGCATAACTGATACTCTCGATATCATCCACCAATTACAGAAGTTTGTTAAATATTTAAATTTTTAGTTCTGATTCCGATTGTCAGACAGGTTTGTTTAAATATCTATCAATATTAGCGAATTTTAGAATTGACGATACTGTGGATTTTGATCGTCTTAAATGCACGTATAAAGTATTAAACATACACAATCAAGGCGCAGTCTTTGAAAAATGAAAGTTTGGTATTTTCCGTTTGGTACCAAATTAGACAGTTCAAAATTTAAAATTACGAACGTTCCAGTTTAAATTTATCACTAAAGGATTTTGAATGTCTTAAAACACGTTAATATTCAAGCCCTTATACAATATTTTTCGTGTGGTACAAAATTAGACTGTATAGAGAGATAAAAGAGGTGGACCTTCAAAGGAAATTAGTATGCAGGCACGTCTTCTTCGTAGCTCCTATCCTTATACTTTCCTAATTTATTCAATTTCTCCTTTAGATTCCCTCTATGTGCTTCCCTATTTAAACTTTGCTTTATAATTTCTCTTCTCGTTGTACCTGAACTCTTTCCCGCCTTTGAAGCAATTATATATACTTTTAGCTGTCATCAAACCGTCACATGTGTATACGGCCACAGCTAATTACGTTCCTTTAAGTATTGCTTTGCTTTTGCCATCTGAAAATCAAAACCCCCTCTACTTACTTATTTCTATTTAAACCCCTAAGCTCTCACCCTTCTTTAAACACCCTCTAAATCCCATGTAAACTCCCTTCATACCCTCTTCTCTCTTTTTCCATAGTTTTCCCTCCTTTAATTCCCCTAATACCTCTCCTCTTAACCCTCTTATTATCTGCGCCCACTTTAACTTATCTCCTCCCGTATATTCTATCCCCTCACTAATTTTCCCCTACACACTCACGTTCTGTACCTATACTGTATATTCGAAACGCAACTAACTTGTGTTTAATCATTCAAACTATCGACACTGTTGTTGTTCACACACATCAACGTGTCACATAGTTTGTCACATGGTTGTCATATTCGTGACGTCATGTGACACTGTTGCGTCATTACCATCATTACGTGAGTTTTAAACAGAATCAGCTGTGAGTTTGGTTAAGCGATTACGTGAGACTCGGTAATCCGATGAATATAATTGTCAGAACTTTTCAAATTGACAGCTTTAAAGTGTGTTCTAATATAAAAAATAGCAAATTTGATTAAGATAAGGGGGTAATTTCTTAGAGATAATATTTTTAGGCATAATTTTTTTACTCAAAATAATTGCTTTTTTCCTGGTTGAAAAACTTGAACATCGGTTGTAATTTTGCGTTTGCGAATTAAATAAGAATGATTGTTTCTTTGTTTTGCGTTAACCAGAGTTATATTTTGTAAATACTTCACTGAGAAATATTTACACGAACATACGGATTAGATTTTTATGGTTAATTTAATTGAAAAATATATTTTAAAGTTATATTTGTATATTAACTTAATGCAATTTTCTAGAATACCCACATAAACCTTTCTTTTGGTAGGATTAATTATATTTTAAATATATCCAAGCTTTTTTAGCTTTAGAGACGTTGATAGATAGTATTTGATTATATCCATAAAGGTAACTTCAATTACATAAATGATCGTAATTTAATTACTTTATTAGGGGTTGTGGATCCCTTGCCTAAACACTATTCACCATAGTTAATTTCAAATTTAGAACAGTCGAAGAGGTAGCCTATCACAAATAATTAAAATTGTATAACGATTACAAATATATTAATTCGCGGGAATTAATATTGTTTAATTTCATCTGCTTATGTGCCCTACTGACAAAGGCTGGAGTTTAATTAATTCATCGACCAAACGAATGCTGTACTCCTTTGATGTATTTTTGCATGGTTTGATGCAGTCATTGATTTTTCGAGCAAATAACATATTCATGCATTAAACAATTGTAATTAGGATTGATAAATAGGTTTCCCATCATAATTTAAAATTCTTTGAATTGGTCATAAATATTTGACAAAATAAATATTTTAAATGAGTTATTTTAGAACGTTATGGGTAATTTATTAAGGTCGTCATTTAAATATTTATTGTTTGTTCAACACCGAATATATGGGTTAGTTAATCAATTATGATGTACTGTATAAATATTGAAACTTTATTTATACATGTGGATTTGTAAAGTACAACAGCTTTTATAGTTGGAATAACAAAAATTATGTTTATTACATTATTTTTTCAAAAAAATCAACACTTCGTAATAAATAAATATGAAGAAATAATGACAGTATTCATAGTTTAAATTTTATTTTTAACTTGAACGTGTACATGTGTTATGCCTAACTATTATTTTACTATCTAAAAGATTTATTATATAAACTAATCAAATGAAGAAAATTGTCGTTGAGATGTATCCTCCTACTTAAGTAATTTAATCCAACAAAATATAAGTATATTCCATGTTTAACTTGACGAATTAAGACTGTTGAATAATTGTGAGCAATAAGTAAAGTAAATGAGGATCGGAGAAATTAATTGTCTCTTAAGAATGGGAAGTGCTCGACATTAACTTGCGTCGATATTTCAAGTGTTATTAGACTTGCTGAGATCCTTTGGCATATTATCCAGGATGCAGAGCATTCCTTGGAACTTGTAGGCAACCTGGGGCGCATTCCTTAAGGATCATCGCAGACTCTTAGCAACTCGGGAGATTAAAATGAATTGATGTTCGAGATATTCTCGATTCTCCCATTTGTTCCTGTTTTAAACTTCCACAGTTTTAAGTTAATTTTAAATTTGTACGAAATTTACCTTAAGAATTGGGTATTAATGTGCGTTTTTCATTGTAGTCATTTTACGTAATCTTTGTTTAAAATAACCACAATCATTTTTAAAATTATTTTTTAGTGCAAGAAACATTGTTTTTCTCACGGTTTGAGATTTATGCTGCTAAAAACAATGCACTTAATTTTATAAAGTACCATTTATGTAATTTTTTTAATACAGATATATACATTTTCCAAACGGGACCTAATACACCCAACATAATTAAATAAAAAATATAAAATCAATGTTCAATCCCAGTAAATATCTCGTAACGACTAGTTCGCATCCAGTATCTTTATGTTTATACTATAATCATGCATATTCTACCGTTAAAGGCGTTATTACACATAAAACCATTTATAGCGATGTCATGCATTCTACTGTATGGAATAATGTCACGTTTTTATCTAGTCTATTCTAGTTCTCTATAGCATAGCAATATTTTTTAATATTAAATGGTTGCTTTGAGTGATTGGGACAACGGTGAATCCGAATGGATACCTAGTTTTTGGTTCAATAGACTATACAAAAAAGTACGACTTCAATAGGTATTCTTAGACCAGTGCTTTACGCAGTTCATTAGAACAATTTTATTTTATTTTAATTTGCCTAAACGTTTAAAGTTTGTGCGAAGACACAACTTATCAGTCGTAGATAAGCTGACGTGAACCCAGATGTTAATGTTAGTAGGTAATGTTAATAATGTCAATTAATCCTCCTATAGGTTGGGCCTGTTCCCCAAGATGGCATTTTCACAGGTTCAGCGGCTGTTCCCTTATTTATGACTTGCACCGTCTGAATTTTACTTTCTTTACCATGTTTCATGTAGTTCCTCGCAAACATTCCCAACCTGTACAATGTCTATCCATCTCTATTTTACCAATCTAACTACTGTACGGTTCGTGTTTCAGCTGCGGGACGGGGTGGAGTTGACGCTGAGCGAGCTGGAGGAGATGGCTTGCAGGCAACAGCAGCAGATAGACTCGCAGAGACAGTTGCTGGCGGCCAAGGAGCAGCGGCTGAGGTTCCTGAAGCAGCATGAGGCGAGACATCAGCAGGTGGCGGCGGAGCACGAGCGGCTCAGAAGACTACGAGACCGCGTGGAGGCGCAGGAGCTCAAGTTGAGGAAGTTGAGAGCGCTCCGGGGACAAGTCGACCAGAACAAGCTGAACAACGCCTCGCTGAGTGAGTAGCTTTGAATTTCATAGGCTTATGTGTTTGATCCAGCATTTTGTTAGTGTCAACCTAAAATCAGACTTCTTGGCCCTGTGAAGAAGTATTTTCAGTGGGGCAGGCAGCAAACTAAATATAAATTAGTTTTAATAGCCTTCAAATTCATACTCCCTGAGTAGATATGCCACCCGTACGGGTCAGATGAAGAAAATTGTAGTGTAAGTTCCGTCCTGTGCCTCTAGAGGCGTGTTAAAAAATAGCTTGTTTTTGTTTATTTTAAAACTACTTTAACCAAATAAAACGAGCTAATTATAAGCAATAGCTCTTTCTCTGATTTTCTTAATAAAGCACAAATCATAAAATTTACCCAAAAAATTGGAGACCCAACATTTTGTCAAACGTACGTTGTCATTGACATGAGCCAGCCATCTTAAACAAGTTTCAAATCTTATAATGTGATGAGAAGTCTACTTGTGTTAGGTAGTCTATTATTACACTCATTTCACGCTCATATTTTACTCGTATTTTGGATTAAACACTGAGTTACATCCTCATTTTGATTTGGTTAATTATAGTTTGCAGTTAAATACAGTAATGAGAACATTTTAACCGATGATATACACATAATCAATGTATTATTCAATTTAATTCAGCTGCTAACTCATTTATTGTAGTAACTTGTTTGTTGCTGGCATTTCGGTGATAGTTGAAAATATAGCAAAACATTTTGAAATAGAAATGTTTAATTTTAACTCTTAACTATAATGTAAAACTCACTACCAGTACCTTTTAAAGTGAAAAGACGAATTCGTCAACCGCTCTATAGGTAGAATCGCATCTAAATTGGATTATCCACAAATAAAGGAGCTCTCTGCAATATCGGGATTACGTAAAGAGTTCTTAACTGATTTAAATAAACTCAGGTAAATAGTTTTCAGAGTCAAAGTAAACGTACATCTTTCTCTGCAGTCTTAAGCTGCTATATCTCCGAAACTGCTCGGGTATAATGGTTCTTTGAATTATCCCGAGTTAGCTTCAATATACTTAAACTTCCGTTCCTGAAGTTCTTATCTTAAGTTGACGCCAAGGAAATGTTTTGCTCAATACTGTTAAATTGAATTAAATCTGCAATTTTGTGATAGTTTCTTAAATGTTAGTGTTGGAATGTAAATGATCTTCCTTAGGAATTTAGTAAACTGTTAAATGTAACAAATTCATTTAATCTAATAAAATTTATGATAACATTTGATGAAATTGATTGATTTGATAAAATTTTTGAATCGAACAAAATATATATTGTTTAAATTGAAATACTGTACTACCATGTCACTGTATATTATTTATGGTATGTAGTCGATGGTAGTACCTTGACTGTAATGCTAATTTAATACATACACTATATATGCATTTACATTATTCACATTATAAAGGCTATTTGTAACATTTAACAATTTCGATTATGCTAATATCGTACTTATGGTAAAATACTAAAGGAATTTAATACACCGGACCACTTACAGATCGTAATATTACATAAAATAATATTTGTAATTTATGAAATAAATACGTATTTACTTTAGGTCATACTTTGACTGATAAAGGTTAGGTTTTTCACAAGAATCTTGGATACCCTAAATAAAAAATAAATCAATTGGGCTATATATGTTTCTTTAAATAAATCCAGATGTGTTTAAAAATACAAATTTTCAACTGAACATAGTATAAAAACACAATACTTTTGTCTTTCTCTCCAGGATACATTCGCAGAACACAACAAAGTATTTAATACTGTTGTCGCTATTGCTTCGATACACAAAGGGCCATACAGTGACAGATACATAAGCATTTAAAACGATAAAGCGGGTTCAAGTTATTGTTTGCCAACAAAGGTGGTTTTTGAAAAAGAGTCCTTCAAAGGAATCAGTTACTGCAGATAAATACAATACAGAAATGTCTCCTCATACAATAGCACAGTATCCTGCTGTGTTACTTCTAGTAACGTATTTTTTCTATCTTGTGTTTTTTTTTGTTTTAAAAGTATTTGGGAAGCAAAATTGAATTTACCATCGTAGGGTTACTATTTTATTTAGTAAATTCAAATAATAGTTCAGGATTAATTTAATGGAGACAGATAAATCGAAATGTCACTAGTTTATGATAAATATATAACATTTAGTTTACGTCGGTTACATAAACATCTGTTACCAACCGGTTGTCATTATTGTTTAGATTCGGGTGTTACTGAGTGTTTTGGCCCACATTACTGTATCATAAGCAATTTTCATACTGAATTAGCTATCTTACTTATTTTTAATCTTCGTGTTACTATCTGATATGATTCTCAATATTATATTGTAAGTTACTGTACAAGCCAAACTATTTATCTGTTATATTCTATGTGTTTCTCTATGCCATTTCGCACATTTATGTTCTTTGATTTATTTTATTTTTATTTTTTAAGTTTACTTGAGTTGCATTACAAGTTGAGGAAAATGGAGTTTAAATGAAAGTTGTCTGAAACAATCAAGTTTTTGTTTTTGCTTTTCCATTTTATGATTTATATTTACGCTTTTCCAAGTATGTATTGGTGATGTAATTCCCTGAATAATATTTACTAACTAATCATACATATCTCGGTAATTCTTCGTCGTATATAACATAATAGATATTTTCATGTGTACGCTCATATTAAATGTTTTCTTAGCGTAATAGAACACATTTCTGTGATGTTCACTAGCTACATGTATCTCCAAAACTGTCTCTCGATGAGTTAAATAGTTCAACTATTTACCAAATTGGCCTACATTTTTTATATTTTGCGTCGTATTTCTCCATCTTTCCTTTATTATTCCTCAGTATTTATCTTATCCAAACCCCTCTATTACCATTTTTCACTGTAAATTAATTTCACTATCCCTTATTCGTAACTTTGTTTTACCAAACAAAACCATATATTTTTAAATTAAAATAATTGCTCCCTAGTGGAAAATCCAAACCTCAAAGCACGAGGAAGTAGACGATTCCCACGGTTTAGGAATGTATCGGCAGGTGTCAAGAAGACGGTAATCCCTTGTGTCAATAGTAGATTCGGACTCACAGAAGCGACTCAACAATAGGTTCGACCCCGCAGACGTGCCTCAGCACAGCTGTTAACCACAGGGATATTTCATCTCTCCGTCGAGATTATTGTAAACGTTCACATATTTTGTAACACGTTCGTCCTGGCACGTTTTTCTCGTGTGATTGTCACGGGTTTAACGTTGAATTGCCGAGCTTCATGGTTAAAATGGTTGTTAATCGTTCAAAAGTAATAAAATATCAAATCATGATTTCGATACAATATTTATACAATTAATTGTTACGTAACGTTGATGAATCGAGCTAATTAGTGGTCTAATTTGTTCAAAAAGATTCGTGAAAATTTTAATTAATAAGCCTCCAGACTACAAACTACAATATGTAAATCTGGTGTACAAATAGTAAAAATAAATATACCATGTCATCTTCTAAATTGTGTAATTTATTTTATGCATGGTTTAAAATTGTGATGTGCTACGTTGTAAATATCACTATTGCGACTTAAACATTAGTAATGATTGAATGTTTTATATATTAGGTAGTGTAACGAAATAGATTAAATTTAATTGGCTTTTTGTCTTATTTAACAATTTAAGATTTCCTATTAGCAAAATCGTAAATCCAGCCAACACGCTAATTTAGGTATTTTTGTGAAATTTTACATCTAATTTTTCCCAAAAGATAAACTCTGATTTTCACAACTGATTTTGCAACGTCGTTCTCTAAACTGAAAACAAACAAGATAAAAATAAAAATATGTTTTATTACATCATCAATCTTGAAAATAAATACAACTATATTAAGAATAGAACCCTTGTTTAAACTGTTTTTCGGGAGCCCTACGGTTGTCCAGTTGTAATAACTCTAGGCTAGTAATCAGCAAATGCACCCCTGGTTGGTCCCAAGTTTGAGCCTAACCGTCCACTGTGGACTTGGACAATATCCATCCAACTAATATTCCCTTCAAACTTCTGTAATTTATCAACACTACCTCATATCATTGTTATAACTTGTTTAGTGATTTGCAACAATATTTAATTTGGTTATTGATTTAAAGTTATGGAACCAACGACCAAATAAGACCAATCGTTAGATTTTAATTGTTAAAATCTCAAAAAAAAAAAAAAAAAAAAAAAAAAAAAAAAACTGTTACTGATTTATAACAGTCAACTAGTTCGTACAAATAATATATAACAGATTCCTTGGATGCAAATTTTTGAAATCATGTCAATAATTAAACAACTGACCTTTAACACTGCAATAGACTGTTAACCCTTTAGCAAAAATTAAATTATGTTCCGGTTGATTCTACTCATATATCCGTATTACAGCTCAATCAAGATTTAATCAGTGAATAAGTTGACTAAATCACATTCTACAACTTGTTTTCTATGTATTGATTTTTTCTCTTCTACGATCGAATTATGGTTCTGGTTTTATTTCAATAGTTTGTTTCTTTCTTGTGATGTTAAATCTGCTCAAAACACTCTAAGCGAAAAATATTAATTATTAATATTTAGAACCAGTAAATCATTCAATGAAAAACACAGTAATCAAAAACTTACAAAACAAAATAAAATATTTACGTATACAAATAAAAGCGTTTCGCGTTACTAGTTTTTAGTTTGATTATCTTTAAGTTGAAATTAATTAAAAAAACAATAAAACTATCTTGTGATGCTACTATAAAATATAACTTTTGTAGCATTTACATAATCAATATTTTGTATTGCATTGCTGCAAATATAATCGTTATTTTAATAATAAAATCCATATAAGTGCGGCATTATGTACGACGAAGTCACAAATGCAAGGCCATCTGAATAATGTCGTCGTCTGCGATGCATGTGCGTTTTGCAATCACACGCCTTCATGATTATTTGTGGGATTTGTTTCTTTACTCAGACACAAATAGGAAATGTGTGTTACGGAAA